CTTGCAGATGTTTTAAAATTATCGGAAGCATAATAAATTGGTAATCGAAATATATGTGTTTATCCCCTCCAAAGAATTGTTGACGTCATCTCAAAATTTTGCTGAATAAATTCTGTTGAAAATGTGCAAAATATGATTAATCTATACTTGTTTTTTATCCTTTCGTTCATATTTTTTTGAACTGCTTATTCAGGATGACTAAAAAAAATTATAAATGGATTAATTGTTTTATTGATCAAATCAGAAACTGTAAAACCAAATGCTTTAAAATCTTACAAACGTTTTAAAGTTATCGTAGGCATGATCAATTTATTATAATCAAAATACAGATATCTATTTATCTTCTCCAAAAAACTGATGACGCCATATAAAAATTTTACCGAAATATGTCAATCAATTTATTGTATAAATCAAATCAGAAACTGCAAAACCGAATACTTTGATATCTTGCAGCCGTTTTAATGTCATCGTAAGGATAGTAAATTTGTAATTAAAACATGTCTGTTTATTCCCTTCAAAAAATGGATGACGTCATCTCAAAATTTTGCCCAAGAAACTACTATGTGAAAGGAAAGTATATATGATAAGGAAAAATAAGCAACACCCACCCACCCCAATCTCAATTGTGATGAATTTTTCATTCGTCGTCAGACCGAGGGGCGGAGCTTAATTGTAAAATCGATGTTTCCCGACAAAATTTACCATTTTAAACTATTTAAATATATTGTCGTGAAAAGATTGTTACGTATATCCAGAAAAAAGACAAAATTGCTGATGTGACTCGTTGTGAATATTGAAGTTCTAAAAAATTGTTACATTTCATATTGTAAATTCGGGAAAAATGGTGAAAATTTTCCAGAGAATGACAACGAAACAAATTTTTTACGCTAGACATCCACATTTTGGGAAAAAAATCCAAATTGTAAGACAATATTCTGCAATTTAATCATAATTTATTCATTTAGCCCCCAAGCTTACCCCGTTTTCCCGCAAACTTTATAACTGTAGACCAATTTTTTTAATAAAATCTGAACTTGCTCCCTGTGCTCGCATTCTAAACGTCCTTTTTTTAAGTTAGTCTCAGAAGTATTCAAGAAAGAGTCGTTTGGATTCAAATTGTAATAATAAACTTGTAGAAACCCTTCGAATACGAGCGCAGCGAGCACTTTTAGACTGCTAGAGTCTCCGCAACTTGAATACATAATTACAAACATTTTAAAATTCACTTTTTTTAGACAGTAACAAATTTTTTTTATTAATAATTTAGCTTCTCAGGGACGCTAATGAATCATTTTTAATAACACCTGAACGTGCTCGCTGCGCTCGCATTCTTATATGGGTTTTGCAATTATGCTCCGCCCCTCGGTCTGGCAACGAATGAAAAATTAATCACAATTGAGATCGGGGACGGTATAGGTGGCGCTTAATCTTTAGCTTTCATTTTTACTTAATACATTCAATTTTCTTTTAACTATTCCTTGAGATAAATCAGGTTTGGCAATTAAGCTCCGCCTCCCGGTTCATGACGAATAGAAAAATTAGTAACAATTGAGATAGGGTGAGTGGGCGGGGCTTATATTTTCCCTTTGTTTTTCTTAATATACCTAGTTTTGTTTTCATGAGAAGAAACTTTAAATATGTTTAAAGTAGTAAAAAAGAAGCAAAATACAAATTCAGTGATTTCTGCGCCCCGAAATCTACAAGAAAAAGCATTTAGTTAAATTTAGAAAATCGTCGAAAATGGGTCGAAATTTGCTAGTACTTGCCAAATAACCTAGCCTCTAAGAAAATAAAAGGCGCGTAGGTCATGTTAGTATTTGCTAAAATAAGACTCACTTTGGTAAATGACCTACTCTTTAAGAGAAGGTACTAGCCCCGCCCACCCACCCTTTATTTTCTTAGAAGAGTGGGTCATCGGCCAAAAATCTTATTTTAACAAGTACTAGCCCCGCCCACCCACCCTTATTTTCTTAGAGGATATATTATTTGCAAAAATCAGTCTCATACTTCCCAAGATAAGAAGATTTTGGCAGATGACCTATTATTTATTTTCTTAGAAGAGTAGGTTATTTGGCAAGTGCTAGCCTCACCCACCCGCCCTTTGTTTTTTTAGAGGGTAGATCATTTGCCAAAATCAGTCTTATCGCAGCTAATACTGCTAGATTTTTCAGTTTTACGTTTTTTCGACTTTCGAATTTTTCAATTTCTCGCGTTTTAAATTTTCATTGTTTGATCTGTCTTTCGAATTTTTAATTTTACAGTTTTCGTTTTTTTGTCACCGGTTTTGGAAAGGAGTAAAAAGTAATTTTGATCAGCGATTTGCCGTGTTTACCGTAACTTTAAAACATCTGAAAATTTTGTTTCTAATTTTCAATTTTTGATTTTTAGGTTTTTCAAAATTTATTATATTATTTTAAAAAATCGCAAAATGACAAATCGTGTAAGGGAAAAATTTTAACTTGAGAACTTGAAAAATTAAAAATCAAAAAATTCCACAATTGTAAAGTTAAAACTTGAAAGTCCAAAGATTGGAATTAAAAACTGCAGAATTGTCAAACAAATTATCAAATGAAATATTCAAAAGTTGAAAAATCTAAAAATTAAAAAAAAATTAAAACTGGAATTTCGAATTCGGTTATATAAGATTTTTGTTTTCAATTTTTCGATATTTCAGTTTTTGATTTTCCGATTATACAATTGTACAATTTTCCGATTTCTTCTTTATCCGATTTTTCAATTCGTCATTTTTTGATTTTTAATTTTTTTATTTTTAGCAAGTACTAGTCCCACCCGCCCAGCCTTTATTTTTTTTAGACCCGATTTGCCATGTTTACCGTAACTTTAAAACATCTGAAAATTTTGTTTCTAATTTTCAATTTTTGATTTTTCGGTTCGAATAAATTTGTTCTTTTAGTTAAAAAATCGAAAAATGACAAATTCTGAAAAGGAAAAATTTTAACTAGAGAACGTGAAAAATTAAAAATCAAAAAATTCCAAAATTTTAAAGTTAAAACTTGAAAATCAAAAGATTGGAATAAAAAACTGCAAAATTGTTAAACAAATTATCAAATGAAATATTCAAAAGTTGAAAAATCTAAAAATTAAAAAAAAAATTAAAACTGGAATTTCGAATTCGGTTATATAAGATTTTTTTTTCAATTTTTCGATATTTCAGTTTTTGATTTTCCGATTATACAATTGTACAATTTTCCGATTTCTCGTTTATCCGATTTTTCAATTTGTCATTTTTTGATTTTTAAATTTTTTATTTTTAGTAAGTACTAGTCCCACCCACCCAGCCTTTATTTTTTTTAGAAGAATAAGTTATCTGCCAAACTAAGTCTTATCTTGGCAAGTACTAGCAAAATGTGATGATTTTATACTTGTGAATTGTCTCTAAAAGGTGATTAAAAAAATATAAATTATTTATTCAATTAATATTATTAATTAAATCAGGAACTCCATTTTCCCGAAAATTTGGAAATACAATTTCTATTCAAATCAATATAATGCAAAAATGTTGACGACGTCTTCACAAAATTAACTCACTTGAACATACGCGTAGCAAGCTTCTTTACATTTACTTTAACATTACATAGTTACATATATTTCTTTTAACTTATAGGGGGTCTCATAAAAAAAATCGCAAAAACAAATTTTGTTATTTTTCGAAAAAGCTAGCTACATATGTTTTCTTATACTTCAGGAGAGAAGGAAGTTCTGTCGAAATAACTTTCGACCAATTTTTGATTATTTAAGTGTAAAGGCTGACAGTCGTTTTTCGAAAAAATAAAATTTAGTAAAAATAAACCTTTCCAAAATCTCAATTTTTCAATAGATACATGTTTTCAAAGTTTTTCGAAATTTCGACATATTTAAAAAATTTCAACTTCTAACCGAATTTTTCGCAAATCTTGGTATGGTAATAGACCATTAAATATTTTTCAGATCAGCTCTTTGAAATCTGTATCCCAGAATTTTTGCGGATTTTTAGTCATCTTTTCAAAAATTTTAATTTTTCAATACCTTCCCGTATTTTCTGAGATTTAGAGGAAGTATTTAAATATTCAATTTCAAACCGATTCCAAATTTTTTTTTTTTCAAATTTCGAGATATTTAAACAATTTCTATTTCTAACGGAATTTTTGAAAAATCTTGGCCGGGAACAATTAAAAAATTAAGATTTTTCATATCAACACGTCGAGATCTGTCAGAATTCTTCTCTCACTTTTGGCTTTGTTTTAAATCTTAATTTCTATCGTTTGTCAAAATTAGTTCAGTATAAAAAATATCGTAGGATAGTATAATTGTCTACGTGCCATATTAGCTAAATTTCCCCTTCAAACTAAAAACAATGACGTTTACAGGATTTCAATATCTGTTTTGTTAAAGTCTGTAAAATAATCACGAACTATTTATAGTAAGTAATATATTATACTATATTGTATTATTATAAAATTTTAATTTCGCGAGATGGGTAAAACTACAAAATAATTAATTAAATCTTCACTGAATTAAAATATTGAAAACTGAAAACAATGTGAACAATATCCTCGTCTGCAGGATAAAGAAAACGGTTCAACTTTTCCAACCATATGAGAATCCTCTGCACAATTATCACCTGATTTAGACTTAAACTCTTGCCCAAAATTATGCATATATTTAATCAATCAAAACCTAACTAGAGCGGCCCTGTTCTCACTCATTAGCCAAATTACTCCACAGGGAAGTAACTTCTCGCCTCATAGGTAGGTAATTACCACGCACTAACAGTACCACAAGTTGTCAGTTGTTTGTTCCACGTTTCATTAGATCAACCCAACAATAGCCACGTAACCTCCAAAGAAAAAAAATAATAGCTGATTATTCGCCCATTCCCACATCGCCGCATCAGCTTAATTTAAATGAAGAAGGCGTTAATCAGCTGCACGTCCACCGTTGCCAGCTTTTAGCATTTAAAGCATAAATTCATATATTTTTTATTTTTTAAAACTGCTTACCTGTCTCCCTTACACAGCCCCGTTTCTTCCAACGCCCAGTCCACCCAAAGGCCCGTCAAGTTGTCCTTCTGGCTGGCGCCGAATTTCGGGCTCTTGGGGTCGTACTCGACCTCCACGCCCAAGAGTATCACGTGGACGCTGCCGTTGACGCAGCTACGACAGCGGGTTCAGTTTTTCTCTCGATTAGAGCGTTCACAAAAAGCCTACCTGTACAAAGTATGAGATTCCGACGAGTTTTTATTCGATTCATCTAGACATAATTGGAGAGCGCGCGTTTCCTCCAGCAATGTTAACAAATTGAGCTCTTCGCGGCCTAGCTGGTATTCCAATTCGGCTTGCTGGATCCGAACGTCGATGTTGCTGGAAGAGAAGTTCAAATTTAGAGTAGGTTGCAGCACTCCTGTTAGCATATCAAAGTTTATCTATTTTTAATATTTTGACTCTATTTTAGAGTTAGTGTATAAAATTAGAAGGAATTAGGACACGGGAAAGTCGTTAAACGTACATCGTTGGCTAATAATATTTTGTGGAAATTTCACGCAAACACGCGACTGCTAATTTTAAATATACGGGCTAAAAACAGCAAACTGCTCTATAAATTGACGATGCAATTTCGAACGTAACTTTCTGACCTTTCGTTAATTGCATAAAAGATTTCAAGATTAAAATAATGCAACTCTTTCTGGGTTTGATCTGTATCTCTGCGTTATGGTTTCGGAGAGATCACAGCAGGAGTTCAGAACAAAAGCATCGTCTTGGACGAAGTAATGGTGTCATAAGACCACAGTTTTTATTCTCAGTGAATCCATAAATCAGTTTTAGAGAATTAAAATTAGATGGTGTAATTTCAAAATTAAGTACCTTTATCACCTGAGAGAATAAAATATAACAAGCTCTTGAAGAGTAACAATTGCTACACTAGTGGAGTATGAATCCGCTTTGAGTTTTTGCCTTAAACATCCAAACTTTCGCAAAAAAATCCAAATCGGCACTACTTTAGATTATTATATAAGCGGCAGTTCACATGTTGGGATTGACATACGTGTCCTTGCTGAAATCATGTTGCTTCCTATAGTGTTACTGGTATTACTTATCTCTATTTGTTTTAACGTATAAGTAAAACACAAATGACAGTTTGCAAAGTCTTTTGTTTTATTTTTTCAATAAGCGGGATTTGTAAACTGTACTTAAGTCGAACGATTTTTTTCTGTATTGAGGATATTTAAAAAACCCGTTGTAATAATGAAGCTTTTTATTGCATTGAACTGTGATGAAAAATTAAATGTACAATTATTTTGTAAAGTTTTCACTTAAACAAAATTATATACATGATAAATAATTAAATTAACTGCAAACTATGATATGATAACAAGTACGTACTTGGTTTAATCTGTGGAAATCAAACTCGATGTTTCAGATCGTTATTTCGAGTTTTTTATAAGTTCAAAGACACGTTAAGCAATTTTATTGCAATTACTTTCAGGATTATAGGTTTAGTTAGTTAGTAGTTGTAGTAAGCTGGTGGTAAGTACTCTTAATGTATGAACTTTTCTTATTTTAGTACATGTTGAGCATTAAAAGTTCGCCTAATGATTGTGGACATATTTTACTGTATTAAAAATACATGGTTAGTTTTTGCTCTTTTTACTACTAAAGCAAAAACTAGATAATATTTTTGCGATGTTTTATAGCTTCTGGATTATGAAAAAGTGGGTACCCCGTTTCCCTCTGTCCGTTTGTCTATAGTTTCTGTAACTGAGATATGGAGGTATACATGGTAAAACAGTAATCAAAATTTGTCTGTTTATCTCTAAATCCAATCTAAAATAAAGTGGAAACTAAGCTACTTTAATGTTTTTTCGACGTTTCATGTACGAAAAAATAGGTACCCGTTTGCGATATAGATAATTTCTGAAATTTTAGACAATGTTAAGAATATCGTCTAAATGCAACCAAAATTTGACTAGTCATCCACGAAGAATGTGATGGCCTCCTCTCAACATTTTACACAGTAAATGTAATTTACTTTTTATAAAATAACGTACTCCTACACTTATGGTTTATGAATCCGCCTTGGGTTTTTACCCTAGGCAACCAAATAAATTCAAATTATATATACAACAATATTTTGTACTAGTGTTGGAAGGGTAAACGATCTAGGGTGTTCGATCTCCTTTTTTTACTTCCCGAGCGTAAGCGAAGGAAGTATTGTAATCTAATCATCCCCGCCAATAATGTAATGACATCACTTCAAAAATGTACATAGTAAATGGGTTTTAAATTGTACAAAATAACATAATCCTACACACGTAGTTTATGACTCCGTATTGAGTTTTTACCCGAAACGTCCAGATTTCTGGAAATTAAAATCATAAAACAACATTTTACACTTTAATTTTGAATCTGCAAAATCGAACGCATCTAGCAGATGTTTAAAAGTTATGATAAGCAGGATAAACGTTTATCCAAAATTTATTTACTTATCCCCTTCAAAAAATTGATGACGTCAGCGCAAAATTTTGCCTATCTAAATTGTACAAAATATGATGAGTCTGTACTTGTAATTTATGGAGGGTCCCAACTGTCTTTTTTAAATATGTATTGTTACGATGTACGGGTGATTAAAATTGGCGTGAATAAAACTCAACAATTTATTTCTTAATAATTCGAATTACGCTACTAACTATTACAGCGATTATGTTACAAAATAATTTCGCAACGCAAATGCACTCGTTCACTCGACTCTTGACTGAACAATCATTCCCGAAGGTGGCCTCTATTTAAATCCCCATTTCGGCGATCGAGCTCTTTCTCGAATTGGATATTCGCGACTTCCGCTTCCAGGCTTTTCGAGCGCCGCTTCGAGACTTTTTCTGGGCCCGTCGCGACATGCGCTTGCATCCGCGCGGCGGATGAGTCATACTACATACGAAAGAAACGCGTACATACTAGACGACCCATAGGCGTCGTACCGGAGCGGCGTATGGGTTTATTTCGTAATAATATGTACGACCTTCTCGGGGCCTTCAAATCTATTTTTTAAGAATGTGAAATCTTCTCGGGGGCCCCAAATCTCTTTTTTTTTAATGTCAAACCTCGGAGCCCCAAGTGTCTTTTTGTAAGAATATTAAATCTTCTCGGGGCCCCCAACTATATTTTTTTAAGAAGGTGAAGCCTTTTTTTTTCTATTACGCTGTGACTAGTACCTTCTACATTGTTTTTAGTCCATAGAGTAAATTTATTTCGAAAATAAAATTCCGCAAAATCAAATTTTATAATTGTTCAGAGAAGTAGTATTTGTTGGACTTAACAAAGTCATGCTGATTAAGGCTAATTATGCTGGATATATGAGGATAAAATAATAATAATGCAGAATATGTTCAAAAAATGTTTTTCTTTCTCTAACAGCCTTTGTGCGCCTCTATTTCAGTGATTCATTTTATCTGGTGTGAATGAAAGCTTGATCTTATTCTGAACAGAAATAAAGTAATTAGAATGAGAACAACGCTGGTGGGAGGGGCTAGTACCTACTCAGATAAGACTCATTGTGGCCAATGACATACTCTCTAAGCAAATAGAGGGCGGGTGGGCGGGGCTAGTATTTGTTGAGATAAGACTGATTTTGATAAATGACTGAACAATATTAAGGATAGTCTAGTAGCTGGAATGAAGAGGAGTCTACGTTCTATTACTTCCCATTCTTACTCTACAAAATAAGATATATGTACATAGCATCGCCCACCCACCCCACCTCCACTTCAGTGAATCATTCATTGTATCTGGTTTGATTGAAAGGTGGATCTTATACTGAATAGAAGTAAAATCGTTAGAATGACAACAGCACAGGTGGGCGGCACTTGTACTTCCTAAGAAAAGACTTTTTGTGGCAAATGACATAACCTTTAACAAAATAGGGGGTGGGTGGGCGGGCTTAGTACTTACGAATGTAAGATTAATTTTGGCAAATAACTTATCCTCCAAGAAAATAGAAGGTGGAGAGTGGGGCTGGAAATTCTAAGATAAGACTGAACAATAATAAGAGTAGTCACTGGAAGGAAGAGGGGGTGAGTGGGCGTGACTACTGCTTTCTTTTAAAAGACTATAGGGAAAAGAAACTTACCCGCGGGGGGGGGGGAGGGGGGATATAATACGTTATTATTGGTATTACTGAACCAATCTAAGTAGAAATACGTGTTCTTGCAAAAATGATGATTGACGTCATCATAAAATTTTGTAAAGTAAAAACTTATTTGAAACAAACGCGTAGCATGCTTCTTTACATTTACTTTAGCATTACATATTTACATATGTTTGTTTCAACTTATAGGGGTTCTCATAAAAAATATAAAATTCCCAAAATCAAATTTTATAATTTTTCGAAAATGCTGGATGTGTTTCATTGCACTTCAGGAGGGAGGGACGTTCTCTCGAAACAACTTTCGACCAACTTTTTACACTGTTGTTGGTACTATATATTTATATTTTCTAACTTATATGGGTTATCATAAAATATATAAAATTTTGTAAAATCAAATTCTATAATTTTTCGAGGAAATTGGATTTTGGACTGTGCTTTTGCCAAGTTCTGTCTAAATAACCTTGGACGAATTTTTTAGACTTAGTTATAGAAGATGTTTCAGAATAATTTAAGAATGAAACAACTTATTTTGTTAACGAAATAAAAAAAAAGGATGATTAAGAAAATTTTGCTTGCATCACATATTTTTACCTTTTAGCATATACCGAGTGTCTGGAAAATGGCGGATTAACTCTTTAGTACGTTATGTTCGGTAGTTGCAAAAAATAATAAAAAAAATTAGATTACGAAAAAACCGTAATTTTATAAAAGTAAAATTGGCAACACTGCACGCATCTAATGCGTGAATAACTCCGGCCATGGCCGACTAGTATAAAGATTATGGCCTGTCCAAGAGGTACGATACGTGTTGCCATCTATTAATAATTACACTTAATAATTTAGCAAAATTTTAATTTGACTTGACATTATGGGACTTCAAAACGTGTAATGGTGGTTTGTTTCGGTATGAATGCCTTTGTGCCTTTCAAAAGGTGTTAATAATTCTTTTGTCGTTTTTGAATTATTAATAGATGGCAGCACGTAATGTACCTTTGACATTCCTTTGGACAGGCCATAATCTTTATACTAGTCGGCCATGCTCCGGCTAACTTTCTGATTTCTTAGTAACGATGGTGACTGAAATTCCCCTTTTATTTTTTTTTAAGACAATCCTAACAACCAGTAGTCCTTAATCGTTGTGCATTATTATGGACAAAACAAGCTGTTGTTTTTCATTATTAGATAAACCAAAAAAAACATTTATAAATTACAAACAAAACCAAACCAATAAAAGAAAAATCCATTAAAGCATATCCAACTAAACACTAGAGAAGATGTTCAAAATTCCTGCCTTGTGCATTTAAGTAAGCTCGTAATGTTTCCAAATTTTGATCATTTTTTGTAAAGTTAGTCATCAGTATTTGCTAAAATAAAACTGATTTTGGCAATGACATATCCTCCAAGAAAAGAGAGGGTGGGTGGGTGGGGCTATAGCTGCCAAAATAAAACTGAGTTTGGGAAATGACATACCCTCTAAGAAAATAAAGGGTAGAGGGAAAATCAGTCTTATCTTGGCAAGTATTGACCCCGCCCACCCACACTCTAATTTCTTCGAGGATATCCCGTTTGGCAATATCAGTTTTCTTAGCAAGCACTAGTCCCGCCCACCAACCCTTTATTTTCTTAAAGGGCTAGTACCGGCTGAGATTAGACTGATTTTAGTAAATGACGTTTCTTCTAGAAAATTTAATTCAATTATTATAAGAAAAGACATTAGAGGCTCCAAACCACTTTCAAATTCTTTCCAAACAGGAATACCTAGAACTTATTGTTTTAAATTTTTCAAAAAAAAACGGGGTCTCAAAATTAACTCAAAAACAGGTCAAGTCAGAATTTTCCAAAAACAGAACACCAAGGTTCTCCAAAGTTATTTTAAATAATTGACAAAAAAATCTCCATGGGCTCCCAAAATAATATACCATGGGTACCCAAGAGTCTCCCGAATTAAAAAACAATACTGCGGCACTCAAGACTTTTTCAAATTTATCAAAAATAAAACACTAAAAGCTCAAAAGGTTTTTTCAAGTTCATCCAGCAACAAAACACCAGATTCCTTTAAATTTATCCGAAAATAAAACACCAGGGGACCTAAAATTAACTGCGAACATTTTAAACGTAGGGTTTTGAAAATTTTGACAATTTTTTGATACGTCAAACATTTTTAACTGCTGCATCAAATTATTACAAAAACAACACAATCATATTTTTGTACATTCTAACTGAAATGGTAATTAAACATGGCCATGGGCGAGAGAAATATTAACTAAAAGTTTTATTACTAGTTATGGTGATAATAAATGTGTTATTTAGTTGTTAAACGTAGCAAAAGAACCAATTTTAAAATCATTCTAACTCCACCAAAATATGAGAAGAATTTTTTTTACCATTTTTTCCAGACTCATCAGTTGATTGTTAAGAGCGTAGCGGAGAGTTAATCTTCCAGACACCCGATATAATAAATAAAACTTGAAAAATCAATTTTTGATAATTTGGCTAAAGTAGGTTAGTTGTCCTTCAGAGACGATGGAGTTTCTGTCTAAATAACTTTAGCCCAATTTTTTTTATTTAGAAATTTACGTTTGATATAATTCTGACAAAAATTTGTTTTTGTGGAACTAGCATTCGTTTGTGTTCGCCCCCGAAGTGAAAACGTTATGGATGGAAAATTTACGTAAGATAATAATATGATCGTTTGAAGAGTTTCTATCTGTTGATTTTTCTAAATGAAAACAGCGTTTCAGCTGCGTATAAATTCCATTTCAGGTTTTTTAATGTTGTAACTCAAAAATTTTAATACATGACAACGTATACAAGCACAAAATATAAATGTGTGTGTTTTATCTATCTTCTTTTCAGTTTGTTATTCTTACATGAGTCCACTAGCTTGTTGCATTACAACTTTCATGTTAATGATTCTTTTTTCCAGTGGAGGCTTTTTTGATGAATGAAGTGTCATCAGTACAGAAACAAAGAAATGTGATTTTTGAGATCATTCATATACGAAATTAAATAACCAAAAATCTGCTGTTATGTGAGTGATGTCTAATTAGGCTCGGATTGTATGCAAAATGCGGCATACTCAGGAGCTGTAAAAAATATATGCATATTGTGCCTACCTACTGAAAAGATGTTATTTCATCCTGAGGTTGATTTATGGTCAACTAAGAAATCTTAATTTAGAAGTTAAATGTAATTAGTGATATTATTGTGAATATTATCTTTGACAATAATGTTCACGTTTTTTTAATACGGGCGATTCGTTAAAAGTAAGCGGAGGTAAACATGAAAAGTTTGAGTCTTAGAACTTGGGATTCGTGCCTATTTATAGCTTCCCCTATTTAGCCTACAACGCTAAACACTGTCCAAAATGGACTTTTTGTCAAGTTTTATGTAAATAAGTATGTGTACATACTTTTTTTACTATGAAAAAAGTCTAATTTAAAGTACAATAACAATTAAAAAAAAAAACAAAACAACTACTCACTCAGTGATATCCAGCCGTTCCAAAGCCATCTTCAAATTCTTAATCGCCAACCTCTTGTTATCCACATCCGTCTTCAGCCTACTCAATCTCTCTTCAGCCTGCTTCTTCTCCACCTCCGTTAAATCCCTATTACTACTCCCATTACTCGAGTTCCTAATCGACGACAACCTCAACCCCGGAATCGTCAGCTGTCCCTTCAAACTCTGTATAATATTCTCCTTATCCCTAAGCGCATTCCTCAACGTCTCCAGCTCTTTGGCGGCGATCTCCTTCGGTATGGACCGAATCGACGAGTTGATTCCGCCCAAGCTGCCGTTCTTTTTGCGTCTTGGTGTGCTCGAAAGGGACACCTCAATGCTGGCCATCTACAATAATGAAAAATACAACGTTTCTTGTTGCTTGCAACAACGGCATAGAATATTCATGGCGTCGACTAACATGTTTAACCTGAGGCGTTTCAGGTCAGTAAAGGCTGAGTTCGCAACCACCCACCCACATGCCCTAAAACACAATAGCGTGGAATGTTTATGTTGTTGGATTATGGTACAAGTCGTATGCCCGTATTTATAAATCATGGGTATTATGAGGAGGGAGAGGATGCAAGCCGGTGGTAAAGTAAAGGCTGAGTAGGCTATCTGGGACATACAGAGTGGTCGTAAATCCAGGCATATTTTCTGTAGTTACGCTTTTTTCAGCTCGAGCGAAATATTAATTGTCTGTACAATTACGATATACTCCTATAATACATCTCATTTCCACATTGAGACCCAAATTGGAACAGCCAAATTTGATGGTCATTGCCGAACAGTTAAGAATTCAATGGAGCGATCTTCACACGTTTTACGATTTAATGCATTTTCAGCACATACAATGCGGCAATTATTTTTTTCAATTTTCTCTATTATTTTTTTTTAATTGGTTGAGCCGATTCTCCCACAAAAATGTTAATGTGACGACGAAGATGGGAAAGTTGATTTAAAAGTGCGTGCTTTAATCGTTTAAAATAATTAGTTCTAAACAGTTAGTTAATCATAAATCGCTGCTTGCGTGAGGTCACTCCTAATAGCAGAGATTTTTAAAGTCATCCAGGAAGACACGACAAACGTATCTTCGTGTCACGTCGACATTAATTTACCAAGAATTTAAATTGTGCAATCAAAAATGACGCATAAATCCCGATAGAATAAAACGTGTTTTTTCGTGTAATTTCCGAAACCTTTTTCTACAACATTTTTGTCGTGACGTGAATGTGTTTTCTTTCGATTTTTAATTTTCCTAGGATCTTTGTTGATGTAATTCGTAACAAAATAATTACAAAATATGAAAAAACAGATTTTGCAAGATCAGACGTTTTTTCTAAAAACTCGCCAACCATAATTTATCTCTCCTCCGTAATTCGGTAATACACCAGTCCGAATTTAGCCACAGCAAACTTGAGCACCGCCTAATTACCCTGCCTTTACATAACCCGTTCACATTAAGCACTTTTAATGCGTCTAGTTAACCAGAATGACTCAATAAACTAGCGATGACGAAATGTCACTAACGGTCCCGTATGATAATCTACTTTTTTCCCCATTTTTACGGCTTACCTTGGCTTCGAGCGTTTCGAGTTGGGCCATCCTGGGCTGGATGATAGTCGGCTGTAGCGTGGTCTGCAACAGAGCGGAAATTGCTATAAAATCGTCGACTTAGTTACGCTAAAAATGATTGTTCTAATTTTCATATCGCATGTTGCGGGATTTTTCCAGGACTTGTCAATGCAATAGAATTGTTTTTATTTGCGAGCCTGCTCAGGAACAGGATGCAATTATGTTATCTGATGGGTGTATCAGAGGATGATTTATGGGCGAGGCAAAAATTTTTTTTATATCAACTGAGAGGTGAGGTCGTTTTGGAGCAGTTGGAAGCTAAAACGTAATTAATGGTGCGTGTAAGCGAAATTTGAATGATAAAAAGAGTTATCTGTTTGACAGGTAGGGTAATTAATCTTTGTACCAGCAACGGGTATTGTACCAGAGTGAAATATTTCACGGTGGATATGGTAGAAGTGTTGTTTAAAGCTAGATCAATCAGACTAAACCAGCAACTAGAGATTATCAATATTACCACAACAGCGAAGTTCTGAGAACATTATGAAATGTTTAACATGCATCAGCGGATAAAATAAAATAACTCACTGAGCGCTTAAAGAGGAATACTATACGTGGTGATGGTTTAAGACTTCGCAATGAGACGAAATACATTTTTAACAAAAAAACTTCTGCCTCATGGCTTATTTCTGAAAAATTTTGCTTCGAAGTCGAAAAAGAAAAGAACAGGAGAAACATATATCTAAGAAAGACGACATCGAAACACCCGGAAACACATCAATTTTGAAGAAAAAAATTCCAAGTTTGTGATGAAAAAAAGGATAAAACGTGCGTTAGAGCGACGTATAAATGGAAAGCGACAGAATAAAAAACACTCTCTTAGTGAGATGTGTTTACCCAACTGCAAAAAATTGACTAAATACATTAGTGTCAAGAAGTGAGAATGTATCGTTCACAAATTGTATTTGGTCTACATTATCTTATTCTCATGTTTTATGTTGCAAATTCGGATAAGAAACAATGGGAATATTAAACAAGGTGGAATTTTGCTGAAATATATTTTTCTTTCTTTCCAAATTAAATTACTATTGTATGTTTTTTATATAACAATAAGCGGCAATTTTACGAATAGTAAACAACCATTCGTAATCGTTCTCAATTTTCTCTCTTTATTTATTTAGTAGTACGTTAAGATAAACCAGTTCATTTAAAAATTATGGTAAATTTAACTAAAATTCTTTATCCCAACATAAAACATGAGGACGTACTAAATATTTTTAAATTTTAAATTAGTGGAAAATCGTGCCCACAACTTTATCAGTGGATCAGTCATTTCTTATTATTATTTAAATTGGTCATATTTTTCGAGAACAATCGAAAAAAAAAACGAAAATAAAGAGAGAGATTAAAAACATATTTTCCTTTCAAATTTAGCAAGACTATAATTACGGTTATTATTATTATTATTCTTAAAACATTAATCCTTTTTAAAATGATTACCTACATTTATTTTCTAGCTAAGTATATTAAAAATATCAGATTCTAGAAAAAAAATTCATACATATAGGGTGTCCCAACGGTCTGGGCATCAAAGATTAGGTATTTCCGGTAAATTAAAAAAAAGATCACGCAGTCGTTTGAAAATTACGTCTATTTAATTTTACTTCCTGTTTCCGAACGTAAGCTGTGATAAAATCTGTCCGAGGAATGGTTACTTTCATGTTTTCTCGACGTTCATAACCTCCAAAGTATGAACAATAGGACCTCCACTTTCGACTGTTGTCTGTCGCCTGCAGTTTGCCGTCTGTCTGTCGCCGATCGCTTGTCGTCTGTGTCAGTTTTTATAAGATAAGTAGATAATCTTCGTAATTACTGGATTGTTGTTAAACTTTATATACAGGGTGAGTTCTCGATGTGTCATTAATTATTATTAGGGATGGTAAAAAAGTTGTACGGCTCTTAAATACCATCCATTAAAATTATTTTTGACTATATACACAGAGTGAAGCCACAGTATACAATTTAATTTTTACTTCCCGGGCATAGGCTAAGGAAGTACAGTAATAGATTCCATCGGACGAATTGCCACTTTTATGTTTTTTCGACGTTTCATGCCTCCTACAGTACGAAAAAAGTAGCCTCCCGTTCCCGTCTCTCTGTATTCATTTTTAGTAGATACGTAATCTCCGAAACTTCTGGACCGATTGTTGTCAAATTTTGTATATATATTAGAAATGTCATGTAGATGGTTAAATGCTATCCAAAATTTGGATAATCATCCCCACCAACAATTTGATGACGTCATTGCAATGAATTCTGTCTTAAAATGATTTGAATGTTCTACATGAATATACTCCTATACTTGTAGTGTACGAATATGCTTTGAGTTTTTTCGCTAAATCTTCTTATTTTCGGAAAAACATTTGCAAGGTATAATAACGTTACATTACCAACACGGGACAGAAGTCCCCGTGGCGCAGTGACTAAATGGTAAGACGCTGCGACTACTTTTCTTTTGTGCTGTGACTAGTATTATCCATGTTGATGACGTCTTTACAAATTTTTTATTGTTCAAATTAAGAACGAAAATGTGAAAAACACGTCCTTATAATAAAAATGATAAAATAAGAATTATAATATGAATATTCAGAACATTTTGTTCGATTGTGGTTTAATTAATAATTTTAGTCCTGCGTTTAGAGAAGACAAACACATTCAAATCAAACTAATTTCTACGTGACATTCTTTCGATGTATAAACATAAAGAAACACTCGAGGTTCAGATTGCTATTACCTAGTGCTGAAGGATATTTTATCACATTAGTTATGTACTTTAAATATATTCTGCATTGTCCATATGACGCAGAGGGTGCGGAGGTGTTATTTATGCCGCTGGCTTTTACTTTACAGCGATTAGTACAAAACGAAAATCGTAAATTCAAATTTTATATATTTTTTAAAGAGCTGGTTTTGGAACATAAACAATCGAAGTTAAGCATGTACACTGATAATACTACACTCTTTTCCGTTGGTTATTTGCTTTAAATATATTTCATAGTGTCAAGGTGTCATTTACACTACTGGTTTTTAATATATAAATGTTATCAGAAAACAACAATTTTTTATAATCTTTCAAAGAAGCGGAGAAAGTTCTGTCGAAATAACCTTTGACAATTTTTTTTAACAGAATACCCTATATACATTTGCATATTTTTATTAACCTCTTCCGATGCAACGTTGCCACGTTATTCCAATTTTCTTGATTTTTTTGCCATTGCAGGGATTAAAAAAAAATTGCAATAACGTTATTTTTAAGATTTCTGTTGTAATATATATTTTACAGAGAGATATGCATTAAGTGATTATAAAAAAAATTCGGCCTGTATTTTATTACTACATCCTTCTATATTTTCTGTTCTCTTTCTTTCAATAGGGCGCTGTGTCCTTTAAGAAAGTAAAAAACCTTAATAACTATCAACATTAAATTTAGAAAAAAATAAAATACAGGGTGTTGTATTTGAAAAAACTGAAGTATCTATATTTGAAAATAGTTTAATTTACTTAATAAACTTATATTTTTATAAACGCTCTGTACATGAAAATTGAGTTTTATTTATTCCACAAAAAGTGCGTATATTTGTTTATTATTCCACAAAATATTGTAATCCAGATTTTAAAAATAACCCTACTGCGATTTTTTGTGGAACTTTTTATTGTAAAAAAATTCAAGAATATTGGAATAACTTGGTAAAGTCGAAATTAAACTATGGTTATCAAACCTAAGAAGAGATCAATCAGACCATAGAAAAATATATATCATATTCCATTTGAAAAAATTAAGTTGTATGTTATACAATCGGAACACTCTGTAGTTGAAAATAATTTTGGGATTTGGTCCTCAACTCTGTACACCTTTAGTACTAGACTTTTTTTTATATTTCTAATGATTAATATGGCATTTAGAAGCGCTGCTTAGTGACTCACCCTGTATATTAACGCTAACCAAAATTTGTCTAATAATTCCCACCAACAAGGTCACCTCAAAATTTTGCTTAGTAAATGTTACTTAAATTTTATAAGATTTACGAAAATTCAGTTAAATACCTTATTTTATTGGAATTAAATTTTTATTATGCCATTGAAATACTACGTGATCGACTTTACGCCAATCAGATGTCGCTGAACATCTCATTAAATGCGTGATTAACTTAATATTAAATATGAAAAATATTCTATAATAAACTAGACTTGTGATTTATGAATTCGTCATGTTTTTTAGCTCAGACATCCAAATTTTTGGAAAAAAAATTAAAATTGTATAAAAACATTTTCTACAATTTGACTTTGATCAAAATTGTGCCGAATAAATCCTAAATCTAAAATGTACAAATTCTTTTGTGGTTTATCCGTGTATTTATACTTTAAAGTATTGGTACTCCAGGACTCAACCCATTGATTGTCCCGAAAATTTGGGAATCTAGTACTGTTATTATTAGATAATTATCAAAAAATTTTGTGATTTATAAGGGCTGTCATAAAAAAATAAAATTCGAAAATCAAATTTTATAATTTTTCAAAAAAATTGGATATGTTGCTGCCTTATAAAACTACTTTAGGGGTCAGGGAAGTGTTCTCGAAATCATCTTAGACCATTTTTTTTATTATTTAACACCATGTATATTTTAACAAATTTAGATTTGTTTTATAAAAGTTGGTCCAAAGTTATATAGACAGAATTTCCCTCAGACTTGAAGTCCAATATTCAATCAAATTCGATGTCTTAAAGAAAAAAGTCGTCGAGGATGAATTCGAATTCAGCGAAGTCCAACGTGGTAAATACTGCAGAAAAATGTTTGGAAAGTAATTATGATAAAAACCAAAGCGGATTCATAAACTTTTTTTTTTTTTAATAATAATGAAAAAACTTTCAGAGATTAAATAATATATTTGTAGTCACTGCTACACATAAATTTGTAAACACTATTGTTAAATCAGGTATAAATTCAGGAATAGCTCTGTAAAAACCCCAGTTTCTCTCCTGCCTGAAGACGGTACTGTGTACC